CAGATGAACACACATCAACCTGGTCTGTACATGTTCTTCCTGTGTGATAATAAACAACAAAAATTAATGGACAGAAGGGCTGGGATAGCATGTATAGTTCAGTTCAGTTCATCCTAAACAACGAATCCTCAAGACTTCTTTGCCCCTCCCCATGTATATCTGAGGCCTATGCGACACCAATAACACTGAAATACAACTGTTACAGTTTCTGAAAGGGAGGTAACTATACATAGTTTAAGGCGATTGCAACCAAATCTAGTTGGCTGAAACCATGTGAACCAAAAGCGTCTTGGCTAATCAAACTTTTTTGGTGGTCTGATGTGACAAGTATTGATCTAAAATCTAATCTGCAGTGAACATAAGACAAGGACTTCTATCAATGCATTGTATACCAAGTTTGGATAGAAAACATGCAGCTATATGTTTTTTTTCCAAGTTACCATCTTTACACTTCAGTGGGATGGAAAGTAGAGTCACAGTTCCTTCCTTCTTCCGCCTGCAGCGACGCCATGTCGGCTTTTCTTCTGCCACAGTTTTGGCTCATTTTTACGACAAAGTCCCGGGTAATGTCTCCCAGAAAATATCTGGAGCCCAATCTGGCCGCTACAGAAGCATTTATATTCCGGTTTTAGTGGCTTTCTCCCAAAAGAAAAGTTGTCGTGATCGACGAGAAGTTGGCGGCTACGCTGTACGCTGGGATTCATAATGAGTCAATGTAAAAAAATTCAAGGGACCAACAAAAAGTGGTCTATTTTTTAAATCACCCCCACACCACCCCCGTCAACATTTTACTCACAGAATGCCGATAGTACATGTACGTGTTTCAAAGGCCAAGCGCCGCTAGATTTGATTGACACAAGCGGCTCGTTTGACACAAAGGAGGGCCGGCGGGCGTGTTGTGACGTTCTGCGCTGCTTGGAACTTCTTTACACTCAGCTAAATCTTTGCGGAACTACGTGAAGTGGTCGAACGGACAAAGAAGTTTATGAACAAACTAAATGAAATTAAACTTGTTCCGACGTAGGAATTGTGTAAAGAAAGATTACAAAGCAGCTACAGATGCAATCTGTACGAATGCTGCAATACCGTGGCGGGTACAGACATTTCATCGGAGAACGTATACATGCAATAATTATAATGGGGGATTTCTAAAACACGAATATCCGTATGCAATATTTATATTGTGGGATGTAGCAAATTTCG